TGTGGGAAGCTGCTTTGCTGTCCCCAAAATTGGACAACAACCTGAAGCTTCTTTGGGTCAACACTGCCCCACAGCACACCAGAAGATGCAATGCTTGGAGATGTGAAGGAACTGCAGAAGCACAAGTGTGTTGGCTAGAAAGGGGTTCTGGAGGTTTTCCAGCCCCACTTCCCACCCATAGCAGGGTTATTGCCAACACAACAGCAGGTCACCCTTGCTGAGCCTTAAAAGACTCTGGGGATGGTGATCCCACAACCTTCCCAGGCACCTGCTCCAGCACCACACCACCCCAAGTGAAGAAACTTATCCTAATATTCAAGAGAGGTAATACAAGACCCATGCATCCAGATGTGCAAGTAGAGCAGGGGAAATACTACTAAAACTGAACATTTGGTGATCAGGCTGATTTTTCATTTCAGCAGGTGGTTCACATCACAAACTCACAACTGCTTGGTAGGGTTTTTGTTTTGCTTTTAAAGGTTGGGTAGCCCTTTGGTTTACACAGGCTGAGAAACATTGCCCCAAATGGTCTGAAAGAAATCCATGCACAGTTTCTTCCTGTTTTAAAGAGTGTTTCTCCATCAGGTAACATAACTTATAATTAAGCCAAAGATTTGTGAAGACAGCAAGGCAGTATTGCCTCGAGACCACAGAATTGTTGAAAATTATTTTTTTTTAATGGGGATTCAAAGTGGTTTTGCATCATTTGGAATATATAAATCAGCTACATATTTTCAAAAAATGAACTGGCCACATAATTCCCACCAAGTATAGCTTCTAGCAAAAGCATTGTGAAGAAAACACCAACGTTTGCAAACCCAGTAAAAACATGTTATATGTGGTAGAAACTACAACCAAAGAAAGCTAGAGTACATCCTTTAAAAACATTCCAGGCATCTTTCTTTTTCATGCCATGAGAGATGATTTTTCTATTTCTTGTGAGGCACTCTGCTGTTTTGCTTGCAATTCCTCAGGGAACGGTGACCTCATGAAGAAAAACAACCAGGACAGAATTAGCCTGTATTTATATATTAATAGCTTTACCTCCAGCAGTAGCAGATACAATTCTGAGTCAAAAATCATAATTTGTGAGTGTTTGGATAGCAGTGTTCCTGCGAAGTTGTGGTAGCAGGAATCATCGGGGAAGGCAGGGTTGTGGTTCCCAATCGCTGCATTTATTAATGATTGGATCTGAAAATTAAGGGCCTACTCCAAAAGCTACGAAAGCCAAGAAGATCCTTCGCATTCCCTGGATTTTATATCAAACCTTAAACACATACTGGAGTCGCAGCACAGCAGGGGACGCAGAAAGGGAATGCGAGACAGCAAAGCTCTTCCAACGCAAGCTCTCGCAGCGGCGATAGCTAACGGGGTGGTGCTGGCTCAGGAGAACAGGGTGTCAAAAAGTCCCCTCCCCACCGCTGCCATCCCCAACCAGGGTCACCCCGGCAGGTGACCGACCCCTGTTCCCCCTCTGCCCGGTGAGGTGCCGGTTCCCTCAGCCTCCCTCCCCAAAATGCCCCTCCTGGGCTGCGAGAGGGAGCCTCCGCCCCGAGGGCCCGCGAGGCGGTGAAAAACGATACGGACCGAACGGCAAAACCAATATTTGGTCAGGCCGAGGGGGGACTATCGATTCTTTTCTCATGATATCCGTGTCTCCTGCACTTCCTGCTTCTCCGGGGCACTGGAAACTCAAGTCCCTCCTAGACCAAGGGTGGCCAGGCTTTGACTCTGCAACATCTGTGCCTCACAAGAAGTTCACGTGTGGTCCCCGGGGCCGACGCTCGTCCACATGAGTGGCAGCAGGGCCACGCTGGCACAAGGGCTACCGGGTAGGCTGGGAGGAAGGGGACCAGCGGGAGATGCTGAGGGCAACCTCACCGGGTCAACACAGGAGAGCACCACGTGGAGCTGCTGCTGCCTCCCACCTCTGCCCTCTTCCTCACAGCCCTGCACTGAGGTTTTAGCCTCTAACTTTTCATTCAGTCTCCCCCACATCCATTTTCTCCATTTTTTTCATTCATTTCTTCTTGCTCTCTGTCCCAAAGATCTCATTGTTTTGGGCAGGGACAGCCACAGGGCCCAGGAAAGGTTCCCAACCCTTGCATCCAGGTCCCATCCCAGCCCACGTCCAGGTGAGAGTTGGGTACCCGACAGCCCTCATCCTCTCTCCTTATTTCCACAGGGGATGGGGACTCAGGGATAAACTATGACACTCATCACAAGTTTGTACAGACACAGCCAAGAGCGAGGTTTGTATTCCTGTGAAGCACATTCACCTTTTTCTCCTGTTTCTCCCAGTTTCTCCACCACTGAGGGCCTTTTCACAGGGAGCCGTGGCCAACACGATGGCCAGCAATGGGGACAACATGTCCAACGGGAAGAAAAACCGCACCACTATGACTAAAAATAATCATCTTATCGCAAACTCTGGCAGCTCTTTTCCAGAAAAGTTGCTATTTTAAGCCTCATCTTCCCTTGAGAAAGTTAGGCTCTCCCTACACGTTACCCCAGATGCCTTGAACTCCAGGATGGAGAGTGACCAGTGAAACTTTGAACTTCTTACTGGAGCAAGGAGGCAGTGAAATGGCTCCCCACACCTGTGCCTGCTGCTCAGCACCCACAGACCCAACCCACACTGAATGTCCATGAGCAGATATCACAACAACTGCGGCCACCAAAGCACCACAAGCCGTCCTCTCCGGAGCAAGCAAAGCAGGAATTCCCACATCACTGAGTTCACCCAGGGTTTGAACCCACAAGAAAACCAAACCTCCTTGGCTGTCCACATGTTGTTCCTGCTGATTCCTTTTCTTGTTCAGACTGGGAATATGGAAGGCCCTCTAACCCCACTTGTTTACACAATCCAGATACAGGAGACAACAGCCTGCTGGAGCTGGCTTCTGCTTCATTATCTCCAAAGGCACCCCCAGGCTTTGTGGGCTCTTGGCCTCTCTCACACTGCCCTGTCCTCAGTGCTGCCCCAACCAGAAGAGCCTAGTGGAGGTGGAAGAAAGCCTGAGGCCAGCCTTGCTGAAGCACAATGAGAGAAAGACATAGGAAAGCAAAGGTCACCAGTGCTGGACAAAATGCACTGATGGAAACGTGAGCCCTGCGGCAAGAGACTCGCCTGGGAAAAGCACAACCACGATGGCATGTTGCTGAGGGCACCAGGTGGCACTCAGATGCTGCTGGTGCCAAGGACAAGGTGACCCAGTGCACAGCTCTGCCTCAAAATAAATAAAATCAGCAGGCACCTGAACGAGAGCTGCTCTCATCAGTGCTTACAAGAATATGAAAAAAAATCACCACCATGAACTGATTTTTTTCAGGTTGCATCTGGCACAAAGTGCCTCGCAAGGGCTTGGGAGAGTCTATAGGGAAAGCACTCAGCCCACAAAGACAAATACACAGCGGAGTTGGCTAGGTGGTGGCTGTCCTTGTTAAACTTCACAGAAAAACACAACTTGTGCAAACCAAATTCCCTTGCTAACCTCTTCCCCTTGTTGAAATATTAAACAAAAATAACTTCTCTTTTTATCTTTGAGCCAGCAGGACAAATTCATCATTAATGGAACTTCACTGAAGTCAACAGGGATCTATCTGAGATGAAGTAATGAATTTGACCTATTGTGTCCCGTGTCCTTATGTTCTAGATAATAACTAAGTTGTACAGGCTTTTAATCAAAGGAATCTGAAAACCTGGCCAAAATGGCTTGCTTTCTTCCACCCAGTGCTGCTGTTACTTTCATATTGCTTTTCTCTTTATGCAATTTTTGAAAGCTGGTATTTTCAGCTAATTTAATCACTTATTTATTTTTTTTCCCCCAGTAAGAATATTGTCAGAATTATAACAAAATTTTCATAAAATACTTGCACTTGAAGCAGAAAATAAGGAGCTGAAAAAAAAAATCTTAAAACGTTCAACATTACCATCAATGCTCACAAAAGCAACACCGTGGGTGTTCTTGGGCACGCACACTTGTTAGCACGACCCCAGCTGAAGGATGCCTCGTCTCACCCCAGGACCACCCTGGAAAATGCATGGATGAAAGCAAAAAGGAGCAGCAGCACTCCAGGAGAGCACAGGCTCATGAGGCAGGACATGAAGAACTCCAGGAGGAAGAGCTTCTCCTGGAGGAACTGTGAAGATGATGATAGAGCAGCTACCAACGTCGGTGTTGCGTGGAAGATGCCTTTTGTGCATCGCGTTGTACTGCCTGCTGGCCGATGAGGGCCTGGCCCGCACTAACACATCACGTGTGCTCTGACAGCGAGCCGGGGTGAAGCAGGGTGTCAGGGTAAAGCAGAGGATAATAAAATCACTTTAGATTTATTCCTCTAAATTGGAAACTTCATGCTTACACCTGACTAAATCATCAGCCTGAAACTTTAGCTCGACTCCCACAGAAAAAGTATGAAACCTTATCCCATCTTTGTTTAACAAAGGCCAATCAAGCTCGCCTAATGAATTCTACAGATGGAGGCGACGCGACTCCTTTGGCCACTTTAATTCTGTGGGGCTTCATCAAACCCACCTCCACCGTACCCATCTTTCAGCGGCCGAGGAGCCCGGCAGGGACATTTCCGCGCTTGCAGCCAGGTTGCCCCACACCAGCTGGGCATCAGCCACAGCCTCCATCAATCCCACAGATATCAAGGAAAAGGCACGAGTGACTGGCTGCTGAGATGGCAGCGCTCAGCCCTGCTGCCCAGCGGGCACGGGAGGCAGGGCACTGCTGCACCACAAGCCTCCCCACTTGCCAAGTGCAAAAGGACTTCTTTAAAAAAAATAAAATAAAGAAAAAAAAGCCCAGCATAAGGAGCTGGTTAAAAAACAATAAATCAGTGGTGAAATGTGGATAACAACCTTCTCTGTAAAATCAACATGGATTGTGTTCCTGCAGAGAGCTGTCTGACAGGCTGGTTGAAGCCTGACTGCTTGCAGCCAGATTTCCCCTGTGCTTTTTTTTTAATTTTTTTTTTTTTTTAAAAAAAAAAAAAAAAAGGCTGGAGGAGTATCTTGGATCAGAGGGAGGCAAGGAGGTCTCTTCCTTTTGTACGTGGTTTCATTGAAAATCAATAAGCACAGTCCCAACCCAAGTATAACTTCAGACATCATTCATGACTCTTCAGGATCTTGTTCTCCCCCTGCTCTTCCTTTAAACACACCCACCAGAGGGAATAGTGGTGGGGAGGCAAACCCTTGCTCCAAAACCAACGTGCACCTGATCCTTCCCAACAGGTAGGAATCCAACTCGAGGACGAGCAAGTCTACGGGGAGCTGGGGTCGGCTGAGGTAGAGCCCAGCCCTGCAGGAAACAGTCGGGAGAGAAACCATATGGAGCGTGGAGGTGCTATGGATTAATATCTGAATTCCTGCATTTTTTTTTATTATTTTTTTTTTAAACCCAGGAGGAGGGGGCATCAAAAATAAAACGTACATTTTTCCCTCCATTCTTGTTTTAGCACAACATTTTCTGTTAAATCCCATTTTTAAAAAAATAAAAATTGCTTTGCCACACATTTTCCCTCCAGCACACTCCTCAGGCTGGCTAAATTGGGTGATTAAAATATAGGAAGGCCTCCAGATTCCCCTCAGGACTGTTTTTAATATCTGTAAAACTGCCACTTTGTCTTGCCAAGGTAAACACCATCGCATGCGGTTCAAAGGTGAGCAAGCCTAAATGTTTCCCTTCGCCTGAAAGGAATCTGCCTGGGGACCCGCGGGCCGTGCCGGAGGGGGACGCGCCGAGCCCGGCCGCAGTGCGGTGGCCGGAGAGGCATCTGTGTACACAACGCTAACTTCTCCCACACAAATACTAAAAATTTCTCATTAAAAATTATTGCTGTGTCAACATGCGAGGCCACCAGCCCCCAGTCTGGAAAAGGCGTTCTGGTTTTTTCTTTTCTCTTTTGCTGGGAAACCGGCGGCAGGGAGGGGGGGGAAGAGGGATGGGACGTGAGACCAGAGTCATCTGCTGCTGACTTTGGATCTCTGCGCTCTCCCCTGTCACTCAAGTTGAGATTTCCAACTGTTCCACTTCATCTATTTTAGTTCCTTGCTACCCAGATATTTCCCTCTCCTCCTTAGCTGCCTATCGCGGAGCTTTATATGTACCTCCCGTGGCCGCGCCGCTTGGCGTTACTTTAAATGGAAATGCAATTTTAAGCGATCTTGTTGTTGTAGCGCCCACAGCGCCTTCGGAGCAAAAGATTTGCTGTTATCCAGACAAATCCACACAGATGCTGCTGTAAATCTGAGCGTGCTCTACCCATCCACGATCCGTTCCACGGGTGGCCAGGAATTTACAGCAAAACAGCGCAGGGACCGAATATTTTTCCAGAGTCAGCAAGACGAAGTTTGCATCCAGGTCAGGCTCCTCACTCTGCCCCCAAAACACCGGGCATTTTGCTCTGACACACCAGAATAAAGCTTCAAAATATGCTCTGTTTTCAAGAGAGGTGAAGGATGGGAAGGTATCCTGAGGAATGAAAATATGGGACAGGGTGGGGAGGAGAGGGCAGGGAGCCAGCTGTATGCCGTAGGAGTAAGCAGCCGCCCGTGCTCGGAGCATCCTTCCCAGGGGAGGGCTCGGCGGCGGCTCGCGGTGCCCCGCTCTCCAGCACGATGCCGTGATGCATGCAGGTCCGTGCCGAGCCGACATGAAATACAGCAACGTGCAATTAACCTGATGTAACGCTATATATCAATAAGTTAAAAAAACCAACAACTTGCTTTGAGGTCAGGCACCCACACACGCAACTCAAACAGTGGAGACCTAATCCAAATTTATTAGAGTTTGCAACAGCTGGACTTATGCCTCTAATACCTTTTAAGTGCCTCTTTTAACAGTGAACTGAGTGTGTCTTTCATTAAGGTGGAGTTGAAAGTATGTTAAGTTCATAAGCATGAAAATAGCCATTTAGTTCTCTTGGAGATTAATTCTGCCTTCAGTTTACTCTCATCAAACCCCATTAATGTTTGGGATTTGGTCTTTAGTGTCCCATTTGCATAAGCTCTGTTTATTATAAGGCCTCTTGATAATATGAAAGTATTAAAATATTTCTTTCCCCAAATATATAGGCATTAATCTTGGAATCCTCCTAATGTCCTCAATTTGCCATCAAATCCCACAACAGGAACAAATGCGCTTTCTAATCAGCAATCTTTTCTCGCTTATAGGCCCTGATCCAACAAGCTTTTAAGCAAACAATTTACTTTAAGCAATGAGTAGTCATAGTGGAACCAATGGAACAGCTCGTGTGTTATGATGGATCGGGGCCATAGAAAATTGCCTTGATGAAAATGTCAATGCTCCCAAGAGCTGGTGAAAATATATTTTTATTATAAACACGCAGAGGAACTGTTTTGATCTGAACATTATGGGGAACAAGCTTTGAACCAATGCTTTTTCACGGTCAGACCTAAACAGAAATTGAACACCGCCAGGCTTGGATGACAGTTTAAAAAGGCAGTCCAGAGCCAGATTGATGTTTGTATATAATGAAATTTAGTATTGATGTGATATGGACACTGTCCAGCCTCTAAGACTTGTTAGGGCAATGTACAAAATACGTGAAGGAGATAAAAATCAAAGGAGCACGAGGAAAGTAAGTCTCAACACTAAGAGGAAACATTGTTTTGAGGAGCTATTTTGCTGAAAACATTTTGAAGATAAGCTACAGCCAGATATAAAATACAGAAGTGACTGCGATGTCCAGGCACCCTGCACAAACATCTATCGTGCACAAGTTTAAGTCAGCAAATCAAAGCTGGGCCATTAACCAGATGTGAGTTAATAACTGGAAAGGGGCTCACAACAAGAGCCTTGGCAGAAACATCATTTTGTCCCCATACCCACGCATGCCCAGGGGCAGCAGGCAGCACCTGGCTGGGGGGTGAGGACATCCCCAGCTCCCCCATCCATGGGCAACTTCAAACACAGCACCCTACTGCCAGGTATGAAGCACGACAAGAATGGGTGTTATGCAGCAGCACATGGGGCTGCCAGACGAGGTGGCAACAACAACAGCAGCTAAACCCCAGAGACTGGCACGGAGTTAATCCCAGATCCCCGCTGCAGCACAGGGAATTGTCCCTTTTAAAAACACCACATGCCCATGTGCTGGATTTCCATGGCATTGCCTGCTCTGCGAGCACCAGGGCTTCCTTCCACCAGGAGGGTAACTGCACACAGGAGAAAGGGCTGACGACAGCCCCAGCTGGCCCTGCTCACCAATACCTGAGGGACAGGAGTCCTTCACCTCTGAGGTTCACCTTTCACCATGTAGGGTTTGATGCCCTACAGAGGAGGAGAGGAACAGGTGTCAAGCCAAAATGAGGAACCTTATGGGAAATGAAAACGCAGGTCTTAAAAGCACAAGGGAGACAAGCTCTTCTGGGAAGGAGCAGAGATCTGCAAGACTAGCCAAAAATGGCTTATAGTAGCCCAGACTTGCTGCTTTTTTGCAGCTTGTTTTTCCCAGTTCTCACTGACCAGGCCCAGCCCCAGGCAGGACGCTGGGTTAGGACGTGCCGTGGCCTGGCCCAGAAGAGCGCATGCTAGGTTTGCACCGAGAGGAGTGGGAAATTGTTCTTTTTGCTATGCCCTCCCTGTACCTCTGCACTGGATGCTTGGGAAATGGAAAGCTGCTGGACCAGGGGAAAAATGGGAGGAGAGCCAGAAGGAACAGGCAGCGTATCGGCCCCAGAGCCACATCCCGGCTGCAAATCAAGTGTGCCCACAGGTTGTGGGGTTGCAAAAGCAGGGGAGGGTGCTTGTTTTGCTTTGCTTTTCTTAGTAAACCACAGGGCTATTTCCTAGCACTTCATCCCGGGAATGACAGGCAGGGCCAGGGCTGCCGGGTGCCCAGGAAGAGGCTGCCAAGTCCCAAGGATCACCATTGCTAATTGGCTCCTCTGAAACGAGCGTGACAGAGCCACATTTTCTCACCCGCGGGTTTCAGGGTTATATTTAACCGGCCAAGGCAGAATTAAATGTCAGCCGGGCTGGAAGGGGAAAAAACAAAACAAAACAAACAACAACAAACAAAGTGAGAACTTGTCATTAAGCCGGGGGGGGGCTCAGCGCTAAGCGCGCTGCGGACGATGCCCACATGCAGGGCTGGCAGGAAGAGGCAGCCCTGACTGGCAAGGAGGGACCGAGGCATTCAGCCCTTTAAAAACAAATACTTTAGATGCAGGTCATTTATTTTTGAGGTGTAAGCAACGCAGCACGCTGGGCGGGGAGGATCTGGGTGCTGGGGAACATTATCCCTTCTGATTTCTCTGCTGGATGTTCCTACCCTGCGAATTTGACCGCAGCCACAGACTTCTGCACCACCGAGGGTAGATAGGGTGCCCAGCACAAAGGGGATGGGGTGGCAAAGAGAAACAGGGACAGAAGCCTTCTTGAATACATCTGAGGCCACGCCAAGTCCTCCACTCAGCTAGCTGGAGGATGCTTGAAAGCCAGTATGGGCTTCACCCATCTGGATACAGAGAAGGAAATGTTTGCCCTCTGCCAAGTCAGGGTGCAGGACACTTGAAGGGAGACAAGGCACAGAGGTACAAAAGCACACCTAACTGCTTTGGCTGCTCCTCACTTGCTTTGTAGAGGGATAAGAGGACTGTCACTATGCTGTGCATGCAGCAAAACACATAATGTTGACCTTTCTGAGGTCAGGTTTATGCAGGCAAGACCAGGAGTACAGCCAGGGAGAGGCACAGCCCCAGGACACAGTGGGCATTGCCAATTTTCTCCCACCCTAAAAGCAGCACAGCTGTGTACCCCATCCAGGGCCATGGGCAAGGGAAAAGAGCAGGATCATGGGGAGCAGTCAGAGATCTTGAACCACAGGGACTGACAGCTTTACATGCATTAGCTAATATGAAAATAAATCCAAGAGAAAAGAGGCTCCTCATTAGGATTAGGACCAAGAGGTCCTAGTTTTGCACTACAAGAAATTTACAGTTCCTTTCCCCCTCTCCACCAGAAAATACTGTTTAGTCCAGGTAGTCTTTTCCTGCCCCCAAGCAAGAGAAAATGTCAAATTTTAGCAAAGTAGAGCTCCTTCAGGAAAACAAAAGTATCGCTTCCCAAAAAAACAAAATGCAAGGTTTTGCTTTCCAGTTTGAAGCAAAATATTCCAGACCAAACTGCTCTTTTGATTTTAAAAATCATGTTTTTCAAGTCAAAATGGATACTGCAAATGGAATCATTTGTTTTGAGACAGTTTAACCTCTTCAGAGAGGAATGACAAGTTTAAACTTTTTGGCACTACTGAGTCAGAACTTCTTACTCAGGAG